GGAAGGGCCCCGAGCCTTCTATAAGGGGTGAGCTTCCCATTTCCCCCACCCCCAACTCCAGGCTTCCTGGTGGGGAGGAGTTACTTCCCAGAAGGACTATCATCTTGGTTTGTAGCTCTTAAAATGGGGACTCAATGCTGGGGGTTAGTTTTAGCAAGTGCTTAGCACCACAGGCCCTCAGTTCCATCCCTAGGACCATAGAACGGGAGGGGCATCTCAGAGAGGATTTTTGCTCCTAGCTGCACAGCTGTGAGTCTCAGAGTCCTGTGGTTGAAGACGGAGGTGCAAATGTCCCCTGTGACCTGTGTTTTGTCTCTCCTAGGTTCATGCCCTCCTTTCTCCGCTTGGGGTCCTGGAACGTGGTGATGTTCGTCACCTATGAGCAGCTGAAGCGGGCCCTCATGGTGGCCTACACTTCCAGGGAGGCGCCCTTTTGAGCCTCTCCTGCTGCTGACACAAAGCCACTGGCTTTGAATTCCACTCCACACAGGCCCTGCTTCCCATCTCCTTCTTCCTTTCCCTGTCTTCACCATGTCCCGTTCCCTCCCTCCCTCCCTCCCTCCCTCCTTCTCTCCCTCCCACACCTCTTTACTGGCTCAGTGCTGGTGGAGGTGACCCACATCTGATAGCTAGGAGACCTGAAGCCTCAATCCCTTGAAAAGTTCATCCTAAATCTTTATCCTGACCCCCCCCAGCCCAGCCCAGCTAGCCTGTCCCCCATAAAGCCAGCTCAACCTCGGTGTCTCCTCCCTCTCTTGTAGCTGTTGCCAGAGGTCTTGGTCCATGGGTCCTTTGGCACCTGGTGGGCAAGGGGGAAGCCACCTGGCTTGGGAAAGGGGTGTGTCCCACCATCCACTTCCAGCATCCAGTGTGGGCCCATGGATGCTGGTTCTTTCTCACTCTCCACCCAGGTTCTGGGCCGTGGTGCTGAGTTAGAGAGCAGCCCATTGAGACAACAGTGACTTTATTCTCCCTGTCCTTCCCTTGTGGGCCGGTTGTATTTTCACTCAATCAGTGAATGCTCCGTTCTCAGCTCTGTCATCTGCACTGAGAGCGCAGTTCCTCTAGAGGAACTTGGAATCCTCCATGCTATGGGTCTCCTTTGTTCCATTTTACAAATGGGAAACACCCAAAGTCCTAGACCTAGTGAGAACAAGGAAGGTCTGCTTCCCCAGCCTTGGCTCCTCAGTCATGTGTCAGCCCTGACTCAGCTTAGGGTAAATTTAGGTTGCAGGGCAAACACCAAATCTCTGCCTGAGGGTACTTCCTGTTGAGAGCCTCCCCTCTTGTAGGTACCCCCAAAGAGATGAGAATAAGTGAGAGTGTTGACTACACAGGGGTCTTAGCTGCTCTGTCCCGTCCTACCATCTGTGCCTAAAAGTAGATGGGCAGAGCTACTTCTGTTTCAAGGATTGGGGGATTGCCCGGGGCTGGTGGCTCATGCCTATAATCCTAGCTACTCAGTGCGGTTCAAAACCAGCCTGGGCAGGAAACTCTGTGAGACTCTTATCTCCAATTAACCACTAGAAAACCGGAAGTGGCGCTGTGGCTCAAGTGGTAGAGCTGAAGAGCTCAGGGACAGCACCCAGCCCCAGAGTTCAAGCCCCACAACTGGTCGTCTAGAGAAAAACCACACAATCAGCAGCTGAACTGGGAAGCCCTGGCTTCCTCTCATTGCTGGACACTCCCAGGGCCAGTACTGAGAGCCTAGCCCAGACCACAGGACCTCCCTCCCTCTTCTCTTTGCCTAAAGCAGTTGGTACCACTGCCAGTCCCTCCCCCTCCCTCCTCAGCCCATGAGTCAGAGTTGGAGGCTGCATCCACTAGTCCTTGGGCAGGAAGTCGCAGGACTATCCAGTGCACTTCCCAGTGTCTGAAAAACCCAGCTGAGACCTCAGACCCCATGAGGCTGCGAACCAGAGTGAGGCTGACAGGCAGCCCAGCCTAGGGCTCACTGCTGGGCTGAAGGGCTTTGGCATAAATGGAAACCTGGCCTCAGCCTTCAACCTTTACCCATGAGTCCCTGAGGCAGGCATTAGAGGTGCAGTTGGCTACCTGCAGGGGCAGGTAAACAGGCCAAGTGGTTTGTTTACCTGCTTTCATTAATTGGTCAGCTGGTTTATTCACCAGCTTTGGGTCTGAGACATGGATGGATACAGGCCACCTGAACTCATCACAGTTCTGGGCAAATCCCTGGAGTGAGAAGCTAAAAAGGTAGCAGGAATCTTTGGGAAATGTAGGGCTCAGGAACACCCACTGAATGGGCACCTGATACTCCCTGCTTTTCACTGACCACTGCAGTTAAAGCTTATGGAGGTTTGTCTTCAAGCCTGAGACAATCAGAGGCTACCAGGACAGCCAGAAATATCTATTATAGAGGAGGCCTAGAGTTCTAGAGCTTCACAGCACAGCCCTCTCACTCCTCATGGCTTGCTCTCAAAGGGGCAGTTACCATCACCCCCTCCACCTAGGCCCATCTCAGAGTACAGCATCCATCACTGTCAACTGCTTTCCCCACGAAGGGCTGGAATCAGTGTAAGAATGGGCCCAAGGCTCCCAGGGATTCTAAAGATGCACCTGACCCTATATTGAAGCACTTCCTAGAGTCTTGGCTCCATAGTCTATCTCAAGGTCTTTCTGCCGCTGCCTTCATGGTATTTAATGATCTTTGATAATGGCTGCAAAAGCTGGGAGCAGTGGTAGAGCCCTGTAGTCCTAGCTACTTGAGAAGCTGGGGCAAGTGCCTCAAGAGGCAAGCCCAAGGGTTTAGGGCCACCCAGGGCAACATAGCAATGAACTACTTAAGAAGAAAAATATCCAAGCACCAGTGGCTCACATTGGTCATTCTAGCTACGTGGGAAGCTAAGAATTGGATAGTGGAAGTTCAGGGCCAATCCAGGCAGAATAGTTTTGGGGACCTCCTTCTTGACCTCTAACTGGATGCAGTAGTGAGTGCCTCTCATGCCAAGCTACGTGGAAGGCTGAGATTGGGAGGATCATGGTACCTGGCCAGTCTAGGAGAGAAGTCAGAGACTCCATCACCACAGGGGAAAATGGAACTCGCGTGATCCCAATGGCAAAGGGAAGCCTAAAACTGGATCATAGCTCCAGCCTGGGCTTGGGCCTGGGTGAGAGGCAAGACCCTATACTAAAAATAATTGGTGAAAAACAAGGCTAAAGAAATGACACAGCAGTAAAGCACCAGGAAGGAAGGAAGGGAAGCTGGGCCCTGTTATCCTAGTTACTCCAAAAGCAGACATCAGGAGGAACATGGTTGAAGGCCAACCAGAAAAGTGAGGCCCTCATCTCAACCAACAAGCAGTTGGGCAAAGTTGGCTGGCTCAGGCATCCCAGCTCCATGGAAGCATCCAGGTTGTCTTGGGCAAAAAGTGAGACCCTATTTACAAAAAAAACTATAAAAAGGGTTGGGACCATGGTGATAGAGACTTTGCCTAGCAAGTAAGGGGCCATGAGTTCAAACCCCAGTACCATAAAAACAAAGAGGAAACACTTAAGCTACTACTATGGTGTTAACGAAGGGTGGGATTCTAAACAAATGTGTCCCATATGGAAAGGGGGGGGAAGGAGGGCTGTCTCAGAACCTCTATTGACTCTTGGAAGCACGTGTGAAACCCACAGGCTACATGAGTAGCAATGCAGAACCCCTTCCCCCAAATCTAAGCCTGAATTCACCACCAGGAGTCGCACTAGCATCACCATGGTAACAGGGTCTGAGCTCTGCTTGGCTGACCAGATGGGGCAGTAACTGGTTCAAGAAGGTAGTGATGGGGGGAGGGGGGGGGCAGAACTGGTTGGGAAGGTGGCTCAGTGGTAGAGTACTTGTCTTGCAGGCATGAAGCCCTGGGTTCAATTCCTCAGTACTACATAAATAGAAAAGGCTGGAAGTGGCACTGTGGCTCAGGTGGTAGAGCACTAGCTTTAAGCAAAGGAAGCTCAGGGATAGTGCCCAGGCCCTAAGTTCCAGGACTGACAAAAAAAGAAGAAGAAGAAGAACTGTGTTCTCCGTGTGCCTCTAACAGAAGCTATTGCATCTGTAGGAAGTGGTCTTAGGTTCTAATGACAGCTTTGCCATAGGGAACTACTGGCGTTCTTTTGTACTACGATCCTCAGATGTCAGCCTCCTGAGTAGCTAGGACCATAGCCGTGAGCAACCAGCACCCAGCTTCCCTACTAGCTTTCTTTTCTTGTCTCCATAATGGGACACATCGTATTCCAGCAACTGTCCCCCTCTAAAGATCTTGTGTCCCAAGCTGGGTACCAGTGTCTCTTGCCTGTAATCCTACTCAGGAGGCTGACATCTGAGGATCCCTAGTTGAAGCCAGCTACAACAGCAAAGTCCATGAAACTCATATGTAATTAACCAGGAAAAAAAAAAAGCCAGAAGTGGAGTTATGGCTCAGGTGGTAGAGATCCAGCTTGAGTAATAAGGCTAAGGGACAGTGCCCAGGCCCTGAGTTCAAGCCCCAGTACCAGCATGCAGACAGGCAGACACACACACACACACGAGCAAGCATGCATTCCAAAATGTCAGAGTAGAGCTGAGACCCTGAGACCATACAGCCCTGTCCCTCCCCTCCCCACTCCCAGCTACCAAGGTGGGAGGAAGACAAAAGCTCTGAATTCTCAAGCTGAATCCTCAAGCACTGAATCCTGAATGCTCAAGCAAAGCCAAACTAGGAATTCTAGAACCCAGCATGAGGCTCCTGCCTGACACATATTCTGGGGCCTAGCTGAGGATAGGAAATACTTTTTTTTTTTTTTTCCCACCAGTCCTGGGGCTTAAACTCAGGGCCTGGGCCCTGTCCCTGAGCTTTGGTGCTCAAGGCTAGCACTCTACCACTTGAGTCACAGCGCCACTTCCACCTTTTTCTGTTTATGTGGTGCTGAAGAATCGAACCCAGGGCTTCATACACACTAGGCAAGCCCTCTACCACTGAGCCACATTCCCAGCCCAGGAAATAAATCTTTATTGTGTCAGCTGAAGGCTCTGTGCCATCCCCCACCCCTACCCCCTATGTCACATGTGCAGAGGCTGCAGAGCAGTGAGGCTCCCGGAGTTAGGTCAGCAATGCCTGGCGCAGCATCTGCTTCTTCTGCGGTGTGAGGCGGGTGGGGAACTGGATGTCAAAGAAGATGTACAGGTCCCCCTTCTTGGTGGGGTCCTCCGGCAATGGCATCCCTTCATCTGGCACCTTCTTGAAGTACTTGGGACTGGGGAGGGAGAGGGAAAGAAGGGAGCTTAGAGGGTCCCCTGCAGTGGTCCCAAGAGGTCCATACCACTCCCACATGTAGAAATGGTTGGGCCCTCTGAGTCACCATGGGCCTGCTCTCATCTCATCCCCAGAAATGGGGAGAATGGCAGGGAGGACTGACTGGTCCAGACAGCATGCTTCCTGCATACATGACTCACAGCTTCCATTGGAAGGGCCAGGGATCTTGTTTTAGAGATGGACAACAGGGCAAATCCTGGGGTGCAGGTAGAGATGATGAGCAACCTTTTCTACCCAAGGGGCCTTTCTTTTTGTTGTTGTTCTAGTACTGGGGCTTAACTCGGGGCCTCATGCTCTCAACTGGCTTTTCTGCTCAAGACTGGCACTCTACCACGTAAGCCATACATCCACTTCCAGCTTTTTGCCAATTGATTGGAAATTAAGTCTTGAGGATTTATCTACCCAGGCTGAATTTGAACCAGGCTCTTCAGATCTCAGCCTCCTGAGTAGCTAAGAATGCAGGCAGGTACCACCAGTGTGGAGCAAAGGACCTTTGTTTCAAAAGGACTTAGGAGAGGTGACGGGGGACTCCAGTGAATTCCTCTAATTTCTCCTACCCTTTAATTGAGGGTAAGAGAAAACAGGAATTGCCCCCACTTTGGGGAGCTCGAGCCTCTACTATGCTTTATGCAAATTAGAAATAAGGTATTCTTTTCTTCCAGGTGCATGAAGTTGGCACTTTGGCCAGGGTGGGGGTGGATTTCTTCTTCTCTCGCCCTCTCAGAAGATGATCCTTGAGCTAGGGACAGCCTGTACAACTATACAAGGCAGACCTGTCTCACATTACTGCCTTACATTCCAGGCCAGCCCTTCTAGTGGCTCCTGGAGCTCAGGGCAAACAGACAGACTTACTGGATGATGTCATTGATAGGGATGTTGAGCAGACGGTCATCCAAGGTCTTTACCTCCACGGTGCAGCAGGTAAGAGCCTGGGGAAGTTAGTATCGAATAAGAGTGGGGAGAGTCACCACAACCATCGTGTGTGTCTGTGTGTGTGTGTGTGTGTGTGTGTGTGTGTGTGTGTGTGTGTGTATGTATGTACTGGGGCTTAAACTCAGAGCCTAAGCACTGTCCCTGAGCTTGTGCTCAAGACTAGAGCTCTACCACTTGAACCACAGCTCCACTTCCAGTTTTCTGGTGGTTAATTAGAGATAACTATCTTGCAGACTTTCATGTCCAGGCTGGCTTTTAATTGTGATGCTCAGATCTCAGCCTCCTGAGTAGCTAGGATTACAGGTGTGACTCAATAGCACCTGGCTCTTGTGAGACTATTTGGAGCCAACCCCTGAGTTTGGAACCAGGGAGACAGAGGCTGCTTGAGAACTGAGTGAATAAGCCCAGGGCTGTTACCTGCCCTCAAGTTTTTGTCTTGTTTAATTTTGTTTGTTTGTTTTTGCCAGTCCTAGGGCTTGAACTCAGGGTCTGGGCATTGTCCCTGAGCTACTTTTGCTCAAGGCTAGCACTCTACCACGTGAGACATAGTGCCACTTCTGGCTTTTTCTATGTGGTAGTGAGGAATTGAACCCAGGGCTTCATGCATGCTAGGCAAGCACTCTACCACATTCCCAGCCCTCTCAAGGAGTTTGAGGTGTGGAAAGCCACTCTGATGGGGATAGAGTACAGGGTCTTACTACAAATAGGAAAGGCAGGAGTGGGGTGGGGGCTCTGGGAGGCAAGGAGGGCCCTCATCCTGCTGGAGTGGGAAGGAGGGCTGCACCGTGGTGGCGCTGGTGAGGAGGACCTCCAAAGGCAAGGTGGGTAACAGCATTATCAGAAGATCCCCAGCAGGAACAGAGAACAAGGAGTGGAAACACCTGGCCCAGACAAGGGTGCTCAGTGTACCCTGATTGGAAAAATGCCTGGCCCAGACAGGGGTGCTCAGCGCACCCTGATGAATGAGCAGAGGGCACAGAGGGACCAACAGTAGAGATAAAGGAGAGACAAATCTGGAAGGTGGGAGACTGTGGCTGGTGGCCAGTGGCTGGGGGAGGGGAGGCAAAGTCTAGGTTATTGTAGGTGGTGCAGGCGGGACCCCACCCCCCCACCCCAGGCCCTGCATGGCGCCCACTCACCTTGCCCAAAGGGATGGGGTTCACAAAGAAGAGGTTGTCATTCTCCCTGCGGAAGCGAGGGTGCAGCTTCTCCTTTACTATGAAGATGATGTCGGCTGGGATGATGTTGGGGCCCTGGGCAGGGGAGGCCAAGGGGCAACAAGGACTCATTGGCTGTGTGACTTTGGCCAAATTCCTGCCTCTACTTGTCTCCATGGCTTCATCTGCACAATGGGGAGATTAGACGGGGTTTTCTGCAAGGGCCATTTCCATGTGACCCAGAGCCCCTGACTCCCCAGGAAATACCCAAAGAGATCAACTCGGTGGAGGGAGGGGTTTCCCCCAGCAGCAGTGAGCTGGGTGTCAGACCACCACCTCAAGTCTCAACCACCTCAAGTCTCGGCTCTGTTAGCAACTCACAGGTGACACCCCTCACCTGAGCTTTACTCAGGCATTGAAGCTGCTGGGGTCCCCTGTGGAAGAGACAGAGAAGTCCCTCTCCCCAGTGATGGGGGAGACAGGCCCACAGTGATTGCTTGGCTGAGATGCTGCTAGCCCAGCTCAGGGTAGGCTAACCAAAGTAGGAAACACGGAAGCTGCTTGAAGAGCATGCTTATTTGTTATTTTGAAAAAGTCTCAGGGCTGGGGATGTGGCTTAGTGGTAGAATACTTGTCTAGCACGCATGAAGTGCTGGGTTTGATTCCTCAGTACCACACAAATTGAAAAAGCTGGAAGTGGCACTGTGGCTCAAGTGGTAGAGCACTAGCCTTGAGTAAAAGAAGCTCAGGAACAGTGCCCAGGCCCTGAATTCAAGCCTCAGGACTGGCAAAAAAGAAAAAGATTCAAATGCTAAAGGATTCAGCATCCCTAGGACAATAATTTTGTATTTCTATTTAAGTAAGTATTTAAAGTTATTCCTACAGAAGTTCTAAAGAGTTCCTACAATTGGACTTTATTCAACAAACCCTGGAACAAATCAGGACAAGCACTGGAGGGAAGACTGCAGTCACCATTCAGCTCTTGTGCTCCTGTCTTGGGCAAGTCCCTCTGTCTCTGGGCCTCAGTTTCCCACTTGAGGTAACCCTATTTCCCGTGTGTGTGTGTGTGTGTGTGTGTGTGTGTGTGCGCGCGCGCCAGACCTGGGGCTTGAACTTAGGGCCTGAACACTTTTCCTGAGCTTTTGTGCTCAAGGCTAGCACTCTACCACTTGAGCCACAGTTCTACTTGTGGCTTTTTCTATTCTTTCTTTCTTCCTTCCTTTCTTTCTTTCTTTTCTTTTTCTTTCTCTCTCTCTCTTTCTCTTTTTCCTTCCTTCCTTCCTTTCGTGGGTAATTGGAGATAAGAGTCTCATGGATTCTCCTGCCCTGGCTAGCTTTGAGCTTCCATCCTCAGATCTCGGTATCCTGAGTAGCTAAGATTACGGGCATGAGCCATTGGCATCTAGCTATTATTTGTTAGTGGAGTGGTAAACTCTACTGACAGCAGCACAGTGAGGCTGTGTGTCTGGGGACCTCAGGGATCATCTCATCCTACCAGACCAGAGTTCACAGGAGCAGAAAAAGCATTTCCTCCTTTCCCTTCCATCTACCCACCACAGCTTCTCTTCCTCACCTGGTCCCCTTCCTTCTCAAAGGTGATTCGTGTGCCCTGCCTCCAGCCAGGCTTCACATCAATTGTCAGGATCTTGTCCTTGATGGTAGAGGAGTACTTATCCTCGTTTAGCACCTGCAGTGAAAGGGAGGATGGTGCTTTGCTTGGACTTCCATGAGCCTCCTCTGCCCATGGGAAAGATGCTCAGGATTGCATTGCTCCTCTAGCAATAGGACCTGCCCGAGCCAGCCCATGCCCATTCTATGTCACTGAATGGCAAGACGTGTCCTCAGACACCAAGACAGTTACCAGGAGTGGATTAAACCCACCCCGCCAGCCCTGGCCATTAACAGAGATGCAGTTCCTACCTCCAAATCTCAGAGGCCTGGCTCTGGGCCAGGGGTAGGATCTTTTTACCCCAGAGAGAGAAAGAACAGGGAAGCTAATGGATCTCAGCTTTGCCCAAAGCAGCCCCTTCCCAATCACAGGTGCCCATGTATGGGTAGTATCTGTGAATGGTGTGGCTATAATCTCTGCTGGTGAAGAAGAGGGGGATGGGTAGAGAGCTGGACATGGGACAGCAACAAGCCAAGGACTGTACGGCACATAGGGTCTTTTTCAACCTTATGAATTATCCTCCAGCCCACCCTCCAAGCCAACACACCTGCCACTTGCTCATGAAGCACACACAGTAAAGAAAGCCTGGAGCAGCCGGGCGCTGGTGGCTCACGCCTGTAATCCTAGCTACTCAGGAGGCTGAGATCTGAGGATTGCGGTTCAAAGCCAGCCCGGGCAGGAGAGACCCTGAGACTCCTATCTCCAATAAACCACCAGAAAACCGGAAGTGGCGCTGTAGCTCAAGTGGTAGAGCG